GTCATCACAAACCGATCTGACCGTGTTTGACCTGAAGAAATACTCTGCTTCAGAGGAGGCTCTTCTGAGGCTGCTGCCTGTGATCAAAGTCTCCAGAAGTTCTGTAAGTTTATTCATCTATAAATGATCTACTATTTTCAACAGAAAACAAACTAGTTACCACTTGTGACAAAACTCTGCCAGCATTAACACGTTAATCCTGTTGCGATTAGGTCCAAATTGAAAGCATCAATTTTTTAAATCACATTAATCTCATGTTATTTTGTCCCTTCAGGCTCTTTGTAGATACTCGTCCTCAGTGTCTCCCTGTAGTCTCAGTGATGTAAAAGAAGGACACTGCTGCATCTTTGATTGTTCATTTCACTTTAACAAACTCTCAGACAGCTCAGCTGACGAGTCCAAAGTAATATCCACCTTATGACATCACACATTGACCTTACGACATCAAACAGCCCGCCTGATTTATCGGCCAGTCGATAATATCGCCAGTCGATAATATCGGCCGATATCAGCATGTCCAGTGACTATCAGTATCGGCTAATTTTATCTCCGATATGCGCCGATATACTCGATTTCTTCACCATTCAATAGCATTTCATTTGAGTTTCATTGTATTACACTAGCAGTTCTCTGTCACCAGCAGAGGCACTATATGGAATCTAAGCTTCACAGGATCAGGCTAAATCAGAATTTACAGCCATGAACAAACTGAATTTGCAGAGCAGTGGAAACATGGTTGCAGAGTGACAGCGGGTGACATGCCCACATGTAAGGATCACCTGTTTCTTATATTTGGTCATGACACTGAGTGACTCCACCTACTTCTCGCTCAGGGAAGCTGCAGGCTTGAGATTTATAACATATATATTTATAACTTGTTTTCATACTGTTTTCTCCCCAGACTGAGTAGCTGTAACCTGACAGAGAGAAGCTGTGAAGCTCTGTCCTCAGTCCTCAGCTCCAAGTCCTGCAGTCTGAGAGAGCTGGACCTGAACAACAACGACCTGCAGGATTCAGGAGTGCAGCTGTTGTCTACAACACTACAGAGTCCACACTGCAGACTGGAAACTCTCAGGTCAACATTCATGGTCCCATTTCATTGATGGCACTTGCAGTAGTTATAGAGTCAGGATAATCTTTTCTATGGATACCTCGCACATGTGATGTTTTTGTGTCTGCAGACTGTCAGGCTGTCTGATCACAGAGAAAGGCTGCAGATCTCTGGCCTCAGCTCTGACCTCAAACCCCTCCCATCTGAAGGAGCTGGACCTGAGCTACAATCATCCTGGAATCACAGGATTAACGCTGTTGACCGGTCTACAGAATTCACAATCAAAGCTGGACACTCTCAGGTATGATGAGATCTTTGTCTGTCTGGGTCACACACGAGGGTAAAACACTGAACTATGAGCGTTAAGTTTTAGAAGTTATGAGTAAAAATATAAACAAACATTATTATGATTATTAGAAAGGTACAGTTCATGCATGAGCACAAACACGGGCTAGTTGAATATATTTAATATGAGTGACGTAATGTCCATGTTCTGTGGTCACAGAGGATGTGTTAATCTGCCCCCCCCCCTCTCTTTCAGGTTGGAGCCTACTGGAGTCCAGTGGTTGACACCAGGTTTGATGAAGTGTGAGTGTTTTTTAAAAATATTTGTCACATATTCACAGCGTATTTAAAATGAGTCACTACAGCTGTTTGAATATTAAATGATTGTTAATAAACTTCCTGATTACATCACACTATAATCATTGACACTGGAGCCATAGCTTGGTATTATCTGCTGTGTTGTTGTTGCTCTGTCTCAACCCATCTCTCGTCTATCCCACTTTCTCGGTTCATCCGGTCACGTCAGCTGCTTGTTCACCAATGAGCTCAGTTCGGCTCGACGTTTCTGCCGGTTGAGAAGAACGTGTTTCCTTACAACCGCTGCAGAGCGCTCGCTCTTGGTGGATTGATGTTTGTACGGTCTAAACCCGGGGCCCGTTTCAGAAAGGAGGTTCTACAAACTCTGAGCCCCGTTTACACGACAACAATCATAATAACACGGTAACCTTTCATTGCCTTTTGGCTGTGTGGTTACACGACAACGCCATTTTGGGTGTGCAAACGTGTTTTTTTAAACAGCAGCTTCTCCGTCGATGTGTAGACTGGAAAAACGCTGTTTCTCTAAAAACGTAGACTTAACCCACATCCGGTCGATAGTCATGACCAAGTAGGTGGACTACAACAACAATGGGACGAGTTCTGTTTGTGAGAATGTCGACTGTCACGTCTCCCAGTCGACATTTTATTGAAGGAAGAATTTTCAACTTTTTGATCCAGTAGATGTCGCCCTTGAGCTCCAGCATGAAACCAAAACAAACTGCTGTTAGGCCACGCCTCCTCCAGAGACACACCTCCAACCCCCTCCACTCACATTCACACGGAGGAGTTATCAATCAGAACTCACCTCAAATAATACGAGACAACTGAAATCCACCTCCGTCTGTGGGAGCTTTTCTGTTGAAAGTTGTGAACGCTCCGCCCTGATTTGTGAGCACAGAAAGCGTGAGCTGTGGTCGTGCGTCGTAACGATTCAGTCATACAGTATACGCCGGCCTTTACGCCTCTTTCTCGGGTTTGAGTGACCTCCCTTTCTGGAGTAGGAAACGCAGAGCTTCCTTCACGTCAGGGGGAACAGACTCTGGGTCTACACTAATCCTGCTTTCTTTCTAACACCGACTGTCGCTCTTTGAAATGTGTCTTGCTTCTGTTATGGTTTGTGGCTACGTTAATGAAAATCCATTGATTGAGTCCGTCAGTAATCATCCATGATCATTTCATAACGCCATCTTTATCGTGTCTCGTTCTCTTCTCAGATTCCTGTGAACTCACAATCGACACCAACACGGTAAACCACAGAATCCAACTGTCTGACAACAACAGTAAGGGGATATAGGTGAAGGACTCTGTGTTATATCCTGATCATCCAGACAGATTTAACTGTCCTCAGCTGCTGTGTAGAGAAGGTCTGACTGGGCGCTGTTACTGGGAGATTGAGTGGACAGAAGGAGTGATTATATCAGTGAGTTACAGAGGAATCAGCAGGAAAGAAAACAATGAGTCTGGAAGAAACGATCAGTCCTGGAGTCTGACCTGCTATGATAATGGTCGTGGAGTTTTCTACTATGTCCTTCACAATAACAAGGAGACACTTATTACCCGCCCCTCTATCTCCTCACCCTCCACCACGCACAGAGCAGCGGTGTATTTGGACCACACTGCTGGCTCTCTGTCCTTCTACAGCGTCTCCTCCGACACACTGATCCACCTCCACACCTTCAACACCACCTTCACTGAACCTCTCTATCCTGGGTTTGGGTTCTGGTCCAGATCTGAAGGTTCCTCTGCATCTCTGTGTCGTCTGTAGAGGGAGAGTCTCCTTCTGTTCACTGCTGATCAGTATCACCCCATTCAAGGCTGTTTTCTTGTTGTTCTTTGTTGAGCGTCTTTGAGGATTCAGAAAAGTGCTATTTAAGTGTAATGCACTATTATTCTTATTCTTATAATGAACTGGAAACACGTGACAGACACCAATGAAAACATGGAAGATGTCGTGTGTTGCTTTACAGCAGCGTCTCCGTCAACGTGTCGACTGGAAAACGCTGCTTCTCTAAAAACGTAGACTCTACGGCGTGTGCATTTCAGTTCCGGTCGATGGTCGTGAGCGAGGAGGTGGACTACAACAACAATGGCCGACTTCTGAGTTCTGTTTCTGAAAACATCGACTGTCACGATTCGTCGACATTTTGTCAAAATGTTTTGTTTGTTTACACCTCACCGCTCTGCAGAAGGAACAGCCTGTGCACAAAATGAATATATTACATTAAACGACAGCGTCTCCCGCTAAGTAACTTTAGCACTCAGTTACTTTCAGACAAACACCGCTTGGGGGTCAAACAGTTAACGCTCTTTGATATCGAGGCCAAAACACCGAGGTTTAATATGAAATTACATGAACGCCTCTTTTTTTTCTGACCACAGCCGACTGAGATCGTGATCAGCTCGATGAATTATCTTGTGTTCTGAGAGAAGGCGGTAAACGTTCCCGCTGAGAGCGAAACTAAATCTCAATCTCAAAGACAAAGTGCCACCATCGATGTCTTCCTAAAGAATAAGAACAAAGAACATAGAAACATTTTAACTCAAATTGTCAGTAGCTGGGATGAAAGTGGGCAAAGACAAAAATGAAACTGTTCTGTAAAAGTTCACTTGTGGGACTGGCATCTGCATAAACAATCTGAAAACCAAATAGAATGCAGTCTCATCTGTTCACCTATGAAAACAAATCGATCATTGAAAAACTAAAGCCAGGGTTTCCTGCAGCACTTTATAGTTTGGGCGGCTGCCTAGACAACACACGCCTCCCACCTTATCTACCGTGTTTTTATATATAAATAAATAAAGAAGAAATGCAATTTATAACTCCATAGTTAAAAAGTTCTTACCGTCATCATGGCCGCCATGTCTTTGAGCTTTTTGCCCTGCTGCCCCGAACGCTTCTCAAACAGGCTTGCAGAGTGTAGGTCAAGCTGTGATAGAAACCTTGACTGAAGAGGCATAGTTGTGACACGCTTAAACTCCGCGTTTCTCTGAAACATAAAACCATTTTTTAACACATAGACACAAAATGCGTTACTCCCAAACTACACCGTCCGACCATCACTGCGTGCACTTGTTTAGTCATTTAATTTCTGAAAAAAAACGGGGAAATTTTGAACTACATCCTAATGGAGCCAAGCATTAGTCTAACAGTTGAACATACTATCTATAGCACAAGTCACAACATTATTAAAGACTTTTCTTCTGGCCTCCATTACATTGAAGAGACCAAGCCATGGGAGCATCAGGAATGACTTTGTGATGCAAATGTTTTCTCCATTTCAAGCCGAACTGTCTCTCTATTATTAAGCTTCTTGATATCTGAAAGGAGTTCAACCCTCATCTTCTCCAGGGACTGTTGACTTTCTCCGGGTGGAAGAGAGGGGCAGTAAGCCGGACATCCCACTTTTCGGAGATGTGTGTGGTAGTTGGACAACTTGTATTTGAGGCTGGACTTCCAACCCTCATAGCCAATGTCTGAGCCTTTTTCTTGTAAACATAGATGCCTCATGATGAGTGCCTCTGCAACTTGATCAAACTCCCTGTCTGTGAGATAGACTTTGTGGTGAACTACCTCCTGAATCAACCCCTCCAGTATATCAGACTTCAGCTCTGGATCAGGGATCAGCAGCGTCCCATTTTCTTTGAAAGCTTCATGAGCTTTCTCAAGCTTGAACTGTGCATCATAAGAAAAACAGGGAACATGAAATGTATCTGGCCAGGAAGACCGTGAAGAAGTGGACTCTGGAGATGTTAGAATAACCGTGCTGTCACCAGAAAAAGATGTGGTGTCATCAGGAGTACTGTTTGGTGGAAAGGAGAAACAGCCCACACCTTGATCTGCATCAGCATCTTGAGGTTGGCATGATGTGAAGATGACCTTGACTGTAGCTTTGTCTTGGATTTCTTCCATAGAAGTTAAGTTCATAAACTCACAGCCAAAAAGGGTGTCCATGAACTGTAGCCGAAAGGATTCCATTATTTTACACTGACTCTTAATCTCAGTCTCCAGCTCAGTCACAGTCAAAGGCAGGCCAACAGGAAACGCCACCCTCTGATTGCTGTCTGGCCCCAGGATCACTCTGAGAATAGCTGAAGTTGTCATGGTCTCACTTTACTGTCTGTTAGGAAAGAGTAAATAAAGAAAAAGTTTAGAATAAGTTTTGTTTCAAGAGGTTCATGTAATCATTAAAATGTAATTTGACTGTCTCTATGCTTTATTTGTATATTTTGAATGTGATTAACAAATTCTGAAAAACATTCAGTTGGAGAAAAAAAAACTAGAAAAGGAGATGTAGGCACAATGTACAGTTGCTCCATTCTCCATGTGAATTTTGGATCCCACTGTTATTCAAAGTCACACAAAGCAGTCCCTCCTCTTCACGTGACTGCATGTACGTGCCCGTGCAGTGTTTAATTTGTAACCTTAAAGCTATACTTTGACCTTTAAGATGGGTGTATGCAGACATCGAAAAACAAAAAGAGGGCAGGTGATAAGCATAAAATAAAACAAAACATCTTGCACACTGCTGGGCTCTAATGTACAACTTACTTATTGCATAAAACTTGTCTGATGAAGAACATGTGTGCTCAAAATGTTACTCAGAGCCCAGCAGTGTGCGAGATGTTTTGTTTCATCTTATCATGAGTAACCTTACCTCAAGACACAGATTGCTCTCTTCAATGTCACCATCCGCACACACCCAACCAGATAGGCAGCCAAGGGATACTCATCGACCAGTTCACATGCTTTAATACTTGGGACCTACTTGGTAAAACTGAAGGACAGGCCTTACATCTCCACATTCACAGCAAAGGTTTGTCACACTCGCAGCATCATTCACTGCAAAGGAGAAATTGAGTCAAATAAGTATTCATATCTAATAAGAAAATCACCAAATGTACAAGTCAGAAATGCATGACAAGCTGTCAGAAATTCCAGAATTTACTCCAGTACACCACAACCAACCAATATAACCTCAATAATAGGCATAAAGTAGAATAACATCTGACAATGTTTACAAAAATGGAAAATAAATAAGCTTTATAAAAGTAGAATTTATGGCAGCGCTGTTGTATAGGTAGCTAGTTACGGTGGGCCCTCTTTGTTTACATGCCCGACCATTTGAAGAGTCTAGGCTGTGTATTAACACCAGAGTATGGACAGGAATAAGATCTTGAGGAGATATTCACCAGAATCACTGGCTCCACCTTTAAGTGGATTTTATTTTTAAATACCATTTTTACAGAGCAAATAAAAGTGATGTTCTCACCACTAAAACTTGAGCCCACAGTGAAAGCGCTGACTCTGTGAGATGTTCACTGACTGAGTTTGACGGTCAATCTGCAGGAAAAAGAAAAAGAAAAACACTTCTAACCGAATTTCTCTAAGCACAAACAGTGTGAACTATAGGTGTGGGGAAAATATGCTTTTAGATGGCTGATGACAATCTGAAAATGTAAATGACACTGAAGTGTCTGATGTAACTAGGACAGAGATAATATAAGTTTACAACGGGTGCGTCTTGTGATAGTATCTGAAGGAGATTTAGGAGTCCCCTCAGGTGGAATGTTTAAATTGAGGTATTGTATAGGAGTATTGCCACATGTGGTTGTGTAACGTGATGTTTTATGACCCATGACGAAAAGCGGATGTTTGGATGCATATAAGCAATTGTCTCTGTGTGTTCGAGAGAGATCATTATTGGCTTCTTGATCCTCCTGGTCAGACGTGACCAGTGATGCTGTTTCTTGCTTAAATAAAATTATACTCTTTGAAAGCAAGTCAGTCTCAACGGCGAATTTCTTCATCATCAAACATATCAACAACAAGGAAATCCACATCAATTTTGGCGTCACGAACAGGATCAGTTGGGGCCTTCTGCAGGGACCACAGCTTGTTTTATTATTTCCATCACTTCGTAAGTGTTTCTTTTTTTTTTCTGCACATATTGCGGAGCTGTTTCTGTCGTCTATCGGCAATTTTGGCCGCACTGTCAAAGAACTGAAGTGCAATGATGTGTTGATGTTGGAGTAATTCTCTGTTAAATTGGGGTTTATTGAGTTAAAAAGTATATAGATAAAGGGGAATAAAATAAAGAAGAGATAAATAAGAGAAGAAGAGATAAAAAGTTGAAAGGTAATGATAGCATAAGC